AGACCTACGGATCCCCACCTACGGACTGTAGGTGGGTTGACGAATCTTGATTTGCATTTCGTGGATTGAACCTAAGGCTCACCTTTTGCAGGCCTTGACCTATGCCCATGACCTATGGGGCGTGGTCTGGTCTATGCCCAGTAGTTTGCAACCGTAGTTCACACTTTTTTTCCATATTTAGGGACTGTTTTGGGGTCCTCCTCAAGGACCCCTTGTGTGGTCCTTGGGGAGTCGTACCCGGAAGTTTAACCCCTAAAACCCCTATTCTAAGTATGGGAACCATGTTTACAATTTTAACCCTCATACGACACTCCAAAACTCTTTCCAAAGGCTCTAGAACTCGCTAATTCAATTCACTAAAATATGGGGTGTCACACTAACTCCTTTCTCCTAACATCAGTGTAGGATTTCTGATGACTCTGCGCTGTTTTCAACCTCTCTTAAATGACTTTCACTTTCTCCATAGCTTGAAGAACTAAGTCTAGTCCTATCAACCCAGCTTCACCAACTTCAAACCATCCAATAGGAGATCTGCATCTTCTCCTATACAGAGCTTCATAAGGAGCCATTTGGATGCTAGAGTGGTAATTATTGTTATAAGAAAACTCAATGAGAGGTAGGTGATCATCCCAATTACCTTTGAAATCAATCACACAGGCCCTCAACATATCTTCTAAAGTATGAATAGTGTGCTCTGCTTGACCATCTGTCTGGGGATGAAAATAAGTACTTAAGTTCACCTTTGAACCCAAGCCTTTCTGGAATGATTTCCAATATTATGCGGTGAATTGTGCACCTCTGTCTGAAATAATTGAAAGTGGCACCCCATGAAGTTTAACTACCTCTTGAAGATACAACTTTGCATAGTCTCCTGTTGAATGGGTAGTCTTTACCAGCAAGAAATGGGTTGACTTAGTCATTTGATCTACAATCACCCAAATCGAGTCATGCTGTCTGCGAGACCGTGGTAAACCTGTGATGAAATCCATATTGATCATCTCCCACTTCTATTCCGGAAGCTCTATATTCTGTGCCATACCATCAGGCCTATGGTGCTCTACTTTAACTTGTTGGCAATTTGGACACTTAGCAACAAATTCTGCAATTCCCTTTTTCATACTACTCCACCAATATACCTCTCTCAAGTCATGATACATCTTTGTGGAACCTGAATGGATATAATATTTGGACCTATGAGCTTCCTCCATGATCCTCTCTTGGAGCTCATCCACTCTTGGTACAAACAACCTACCTTGATACCTCAATATACCATCTCCCCCTTGTTCAAAAGCCATTACTTTTTGCTTATGAACATTTGCCTTCAATTCAAGCAAAATAGGATCTTGGTCTTGCTTGTCTTTTACTTCTGACACTAATGATGATTCAGCCCCAGTCATCACCACTATTCCTCCTTCTGTGAAATCCATTAGTCGAACTCCTAATTGTGCAAGTCTATGCACCTCTTTTGCTAACTCTTTCTTATCTTCTTCAAAATGGGCGGTACTACCCATATATAATCTACTCAAGGCATCATCAACAACATTAGCCTTACCTGGGTGATAAAGAATACTAATGTCATAATCCTTGAGTAACTCTAACCACCTTCGATGTCTGAGATTAAGCTCTTTCACTAAACACATATTGAAGACTCTTATGATCAGTGAATACATCAACATGAACACCATACAAATAATGACGCCATATTTTCAAAATAAATACTACAGCAGCCAACTCTAAGTCATGGGTTGGTGATGCTTATCATGACCAACGACACTAACCTACGGTACGAGTGTCTACGATCGTTGATAATATAGTAACCAAACTAAATGTTGGGGTCGTGTCCCAAGGGAGTGGTTTTGAGAATTAATAGGAAAATACAATTTAGCTCTAATAAGTCGTAGCTAAAGACATTAACGATTAAAAATATATTAAATTAAAGGAGGTGACACAAAAGTGTCAAATATAGATTTGGGGGTTTTGTCACAAGTAGTAAATACAACAAAAATAACAAGAAAATCAAGTATGGGGGAAAGTTCTTGGGGTGTGACCGCAATACAAGTTGAGATAAATTGTTCGGTATATGTTTTTGATAGGAAATTTGCAAGATAATAGTGACTAGGCTAAGTTTTAGATGGAAATAAGTTCCCTCTCGGGAAACTTACACCATTTCAAATGCGTTCCTCTCGGACACCCATTTGCCGCATGAAGGCCAGCCTATGCCTTACCCCACTCACTCTCTTGAGCTGAGTGTTAGGATATGGGACTAGGGCTCACCCTCTCAGGCTGAACCTCATGTCGACCCACTCCTTAGGCCATCAGTCTAGTGGTCTTGGTTTCGCGACCTCCCTTTCGGGCAAGCTGAAAACACATGGGTGGTTTTGTATTTGCAACTACAAACCCATTAAATTAAACCACAACCACTAGGTGAAATCACCATTAAAATACATCTACCCTATCAGCAAGCAAGACCCAACAATAATATCAACACATATTTGCTAAATCACACCCCAAGAATGGGGTTTTTTAGCGACACATCAAGAAATAACAAAATACACCTAAGATGATACTAAAATCAAATGGGTATAAGAAATCAAACCTTGATTTAAGCAAAGGAAGAAGAATGGAGAAGATCCACTTCCAACTTAGGAAGATGAAATCCTTCTTTCTTCCAGTCTCCCACAAAAGCCTCTCCAAACTTGAGAGAAAAATATCCAAAAAAGTACTATTCTATTCTAAAAATTATAATAATAATTCGACTCCCTAAAATTAATAAAAAGTTTATTATTTATAGACTTCAGAAATTAGTGTTGGCGGATCGCTCGGCGAGGTTAGTCGATGTCGTCGAACGACTCAGCGACTCACCTTTCTTCTGTTTCATCGCCGTTTCGTTCTTGCCTTCAGCATCTTCACGTTCTGGACCATTTGACGGTATAGTACTGCTTTGCGGAAGTATTCAGTGAAGCGCCGACTACTCATTTCATCGCCTTTTTTATCCTTCTCCTTCAGGGCTTCACGTATTGGAACAAAGGGCAGAGTGCATCCCTTTGGCGAATCGCCAAGTGTGCTTGGTGATGCTGACTCATCAACACCCCCAACTTAAACTTTTGCTTGTCCTCAAGCAAATTTAAGTTCAGCCATTCAAAAAGGGTGTCTCAAACAGTGCTACACAAGACTCAATGATGAATGCATACAACAAGACTCAATTTACTTATGCAAGGATCAATTGTGTACTCAAAGAGTCAAGTTGTGACACACCATTACCAAAGATTCTCATGCTCGCAATACTTGCTACTTGTGCAAGTTCAAGCTCAACAAACAGTATCTCAATGCCCTCACATAAAGAATGATTCCATATTTACACACAGAGGTTAATCAATTCAAGATCAGGAATCAGATGCAACGCTCACACTCAAAAATGAGGAACACAATGCATGTTTTCACCCTTAGGTTTGACCTTATTTTCCAATCCACTTTCGATTTGGCTTACTCAACCTACATTAATTGATGGTAATCTGTAAAATCATAAATTTTAAAAATTGGTTTAAGGGTATGTAATCATTGACTGTTTTTTTAAGTTCATTAAATGGTTAAAATTTTGGTAAAATACTTTGGTATTTCTTTGACTTGTTTTTTTAAGTTCATTAAATGGTTAAAATTTTGGTAAAATACTTTGGTATTTATTTGACTGTTTTTTTAAGTCATTAAATGGTTAAAATTTTGGTAAAATACTTTGGTATTTCTTTGACTTGTTTTTTTAAGTTCATTAAATGGTTAAAATTTTGGTAAAATACTTTGGTATTTATTTGACTGTTTTTTTAAGTCATTAAATGGTTAAAATTTTGGTAAAATACTTTGGTATTCTTTGACTATTTTTTTAAGTTCATTAAATGGTTAAAATTTTGGTAAAAATACTTTGGTATTCTTTGACTATTTTTTTAAGTTCATTAAATGGTTAAAATTTTGGTAAAATACTTTGGTATTCTTTGACTATTTTTTTTAAGTTCATTAAATGGTTAAATTTTGGTAAATACTTTGGTATTTCTTGACTTGTTTTTTTAAGTCATTAAATGGTTAAAATTTTGGTAAAATACTTTGGTATTTCAATATCTGGCTTATATACCAACAAAAACAATGTAACAACAAATCTAAATAAGTTGATGACTGTAGTAAGTAATTCTGAAAGTTCCATTTAAAATTAACGAAGAATTTGTTATTTTAAACAGGCAATTACATGTATTACAATATTGAAGGAGTTATGTATGATCCAACCACCAAATACGAAGGCTTGATTACAGCTATATCTTCACAATTGGGAGTAGACACAACAATTTATAATTTGAAACTCAAGTATTTCGTGAGTGGTACATCTCCACCAATGAAGATACATAACGATATGGGATTGCAAGTTTATTTAGATCAAAAGAGATGTAATTCAGATTTCTTTTCAAAATATCCTTTATGTCTGACATGTGTGGACAGAGCTATGGAATCCATTGAGTACCAAACTAATGTCCAAACAACACGTCAACATATTTAGGGATCCAACACACTATGTTTGACTAGCATAGATCCAATTTTGGAAGGATATATTGAAGAATCTGAAGGTACTGAAATAATTTCAAATCCTCAACACAATTTGGTGGCCGAGGATCAACTTTATATAAACAAGCAAACTATATCGAAAGTTATGAAGCGATATGCATTTCTAAGAGAGTTTTGTTTCATTGCAAAAAGATCAAGTCCTACCTGGTGAGTTATTATATATGTTGATTTTAAAAATTACCAATATATTTTAACAACTTATGATGTATATTAATGCATGAGTTTTTGCAGTTACTATCTAAAGTGTGCTACAGAAAACTGCTCATGGGTTTTTTAAATCCTCATGTTTGAATAATTCAAAGTTATTCAAAGTGAGAAAATTCTATGAAACACATTCTTTTCCATTGAAGGAACGGATTCAATCAAAGCGACAATCAACAAGTTGTGTGCTTGGTGCAATGTTGGTGGAAAAGTATGTCGATCTGAAAACCGTTTACACACCAACAGACATACGAGCAGACATGCTAAGGATACATGGTATTTCATTGACATACATACAAGCATGGAGAGGTACAAAAAAAGCTTTCGAGACATTAAGAGGTGACCCTGCCGAATCATATGGAAAAATTCCAACATATCTATATATATTGGAGAAGAAATATCCAGGGACAATTGTGAATTATAAAAAACAGATGAAAATCATTTTTTATATTCATTTACAGCACTTGATGCAAGTATAAGAGGCTGGGAGTATAAGAGGCTGGGAGTATTGTCGACCAATAGTAGTCGTGGATGGTACACATTTAAAATCAACATATGAAGGCACAATGTTGATAGCTAGTACATTAGATCCAAAAGGTACTGTTTATACCATTACTGCAACTAGATTGATTTGTTTTATATATAAAACATATATGTTGAATTTATTTTGAAGCTATTGTTGTATAGATCACATCTTGCCGCTTGCATACGGAATAGTTGATTCAGAAAATGATGATTCATGGTTATGGTTCTTTGAGAATTTTAAAAATGCATTCGGTGAAAGGGAAGATATGTGCTTTGTTTCTGATAGAAATAAGAGCATTTGGAATGTTACTGCATCTGTTTATCCCGAATTCAGACATTACGCGTGCATATACCATCTGTGGACCAATTTACTAAAGAAAACATACATAGATACAGAAGAGGTGAGAACATTATTCTTCAGTTTAGCAAAAGCATACACTGTACAAGAGTTTGATGAATTGATGCAAAGAATGGATCAAATTAATCCAAAATACCGTGCTTATCTACAAAAAGCAAATTATGAGAAATGGTCATGCGCACATTCACCAGTAAAAAGGACTTGGACACTAACAAGTAACATAGCATAGTCACTAAATAACGCTATTCTTGTTGGAAGAAGGTTACCAGTGGTACCATTGTTGGAATTTGTTAGAAAAACAATTGAAGCTTGGAATGAGAAACAGAACGAAGAAGAAATAAATACTACTAACAACCTTGACAAGTAAATACAATGAAATGTTGGAGGACAATAGAAATTTGTCTCATCGTATGCTTGTAAGTATTAACAATTCTCTACTATGCATAGTATGTTTTAGTTTTATTATTGATAATACATGTTCTTAAATAAAGGTATGCGCATCAACAATACACCTTCATACCATTACAGATGGTGCAATGAGGTTTACGGTATGTCTGAATACACGAATGTGTAGTTGTGGCAGATTTCAATATGACGAGATCCCTTGTAGTCATGCACTTGCAGCGATCAGATATAGGAATAAACATCGTGATGATTACTGTTCAGCTTATTATAGTAATAAGAATTATCAAGATACATATGCAATACCAATTGAACCCCTGCCTTGCGAAAGCACTTGGGATGTTCCATCACATGTCTTGGAAGAGGTAATATTACCACCAATTACAAGAAAGCAACCAGGCAGACCTCCAAAAAATGATCGCAAAAAGGGATTCACCGAAGGAAAGGGGAAGAAGAGGAAAGTAACCTGTAGTGAATGTGGTATAGTTGGGCAAGTCTAAAAAAATCTCATAATTAGCTTTGTGGTATTTTTGTTGTTATTTTTACTTTGCAGTTATACAGTTGGACTATATTACTTTTATTAGATGTACAATTTTAAAATTTCATTACCTTATTTAGTTGATTACTTTTTGTTATCTTATTAATATGTTTGAATTCATAGTTGTTATAAATGTTTGTATATAATAAATATCATGACTTCTGAATTACGTGTTGACACATATCCAGAATATTGATAAAATATGAACTTAATGGATGATATTCTGTTGTTGATTTGATATGGTAAATAAGCCAAATTCTTGGTGAAATTATGGTAAATAGGCACAATGTATGGTAAAATAAAGGATCATAATAATGATTGTATATAGTAAAACAAATGTTTGCAGTATACACCAACCTAAAACAATAAATTGAAAAGTATTAAATGTTTAGTATATTACTTTGGACGCTACAATAATTAACACTCAATTACTGTAAAATTGGTTTACTCTTGTTAAAACTGCCACAAAACTTGGTATAAATGATGGTATATAAAACAACCAAATGTCATAATAATTATGGTATATATAAGTTGACTGCTTATATTATATACAAACCTAAAACTTTACATTGGAAAAAACAGGTTATGACTACAATCTTGATTAACACTGAAACCATAAAAAAAAACACTCTGTTAAAGAAAAAACATTGGTTTACATATGAAATAAAAAAATCCAAAACTGGGTAAACTCATTGGTATGTATACCAACCTGCAACTTTGAATGAAATCCAATCGAACATATACAAGCATTTAGTATAATTTTTCAATAATGATAAAACCCATATTTATACCAAACTCATACATGTACAAACCAAAATTACACTATAAATTTATCACAAAATTTATCCAAAAAAGCAACCAAATAAATGCATAATCACAGAATAAAGACAATATCCAACAACGAAATCAAATTCATAAACGCAACTAAAGTACTATCCAAAATAACAAAAGAGATTCAAAATCATAAAACATTCATGAAATTCTGTCTTAAGAAATAACACTTTTTTACTCCTTGACCCTCCAATTTGACCGACCACCTTGCTTAGAAGCTTCATCTTCACTAACAGATTCAGTATCAATTTTCATCTTTCCATATTCCCACAGTAATGCTCCAAATCTCAACCAAAGATTTTCAGCATTTAAACCCGACATAGATATGTTCCTATCTCCACGGCACACATATTCAACAAAAACACATGTATACAGACCACAATCCCTACAAATATTACCCAATCAGCATAATTAGTACAGTACATAATATAATCAACCACAAAAAGACACATTATACTTACGTTGAATTATCGCATTGTTGTGGGATGTTTTCACGATTACCATATACCAACAGATCACCAACTGGCCTTCCAGCATAATGCACATTTGTATTCCAGTCAATGTCTTTCCTTAAAGCATAATAATCAGTAGCAACTAGGAACAAAGGTATCATTCTAGATATTTTTTGAACCAAACTTGTTATTGCATTGGTATGTTTAACCCCATAACCATTTAAAGAATCAAAAATGTATAAACACCTTTTCCTTATGGAAAAAACAATAAAAAACCAGTGAAATGCAACACTACTATTGATTGGAATGCATACATGATCAACATCCACCCATGGAGTACTAGCAAGAATCCTATCACCTCTTATATATTGTGCAACCTCATGATGTATACTAATCAAACTTTCATCTTTATCATTGGCCTCCCACACATCATGTATTTGAACAACCCAACTGACGAAAAAGGGTTAGTAGCAGTAACTCTTGCACTATTATCAGGACCATACTTGCAAAACTTGCGAAGATAATACATTATCACATCAACATGCTGCATAACAAGTTTTATTAGTTAGAACCAAACAATAAATAGTATCACAACTTGATTGAAAAAATCACCATTATCTAATTATTACCTATTAAACTATATTTAAAATTCTATGTGTGTCATTGTAACTATTAAACTATAATTAGTAGTCTATGTTTGTGTCATTAGTTTATTTTCCTAACATACATACCAAAAACAACTATCCCCAAAGAACTAAATCATAGATTTCAGTGACTACAATGCAACCAATTTTACTTACCAATCACTAAAAATCACAACTAAAAACAAATACCAAATCTTACTTTAATATAGAGTTACACATTAAGAAATTACCAAATCACTCCAAGGCTATCCTGGATAAGCCAAAGGGTGAAACCAATCTATCAAATCCACCCTACCAACACCAAACTCAAAAGGAGGAACAATTGGATTTGAAGCAGCAGTGAAGAAACTGGTTTTCCTATAAAACAAAATGAGTAGTTATAGCATATAAAGTTATGAACAAATTGTAAAATACAATTACACAACAATACATACTTTCCACGTTTCTTGGATAATTTGCTATCAACCCATTTTTTAAAATGAAGGATAACTTCACTGTACATATCAAACCCCTTGTAATTTACAAAAGGATGCCTCCATAAACAGTACTTCACTGTGTTCAACGATGTGCCACCTGATTCACTTAAGTTTGTGTATGGTGATTGAGCATACTTTCCTGGAATCTTCGTACGAACTTGTTGAATTGGAGAGATATGTGTGTTTTCAACCTCAATAACACCAAACTGGTTGAACTTTGTTATTCCAGCTTCAACAACTTCCAAAGGTGTGACACAAATATTTTCAGATTCAACTTCTACCAATGATGACACATATGTTTGTCCTGTTTCAAGAGCAACCAACTGTGATTCACGCATATTGGGCATAACAAAGTCATCCAATGTAGGAGTTTTTCTATTTATTTCAAAATCAACAGGTACACCACCTATTAATATATACAAACATCATTTATGTATCTATATTTTATGATATTTTAAACACAAACCAGAAATGAACTAAAATAGTTATACAAAACAGATTTAAGCTAACAAAAAAGAACTTACAACTGTTATCAAGAACATGATTACGAAACGAAGATGGTGTCTACACACCATCTTTATCTCCACAATCTTGCAAATGTTCATTTTGGACATCACCTTTTCCTTTTCTTTGATCCTCAACAACAACCTTAATGTTCTCAATAAAAAATAAAATTTTGAGTCATTCAGCTATTACAATAAGACAATAATATAGCTAATTACATATATTTAATCAAAAAGAAGATTAAAAATATTTATAAATCAACACAAAGTATACAAATTAACATTTATAATAGTCTTGATCTATCATTATACTGACCATTGTTTAAACATATATTTTTTAGAGCATGTAACTATTTTAACAACATACTACAAAAGCATAAAATAAAAACTGAAATGATAAAAATAATACAAACGACACTGCAAATGAACATAACAAAAAAGTAAATAAATCAAATACTATACTAAAACAATAATCTAATTACAAGCATAAATGGGATAATAATCATATTTATATACCAACAACACTACACCTGATCATACACTATCATAACAACCAAAAAACATAAATGCAAATAATAACTAACATTGTGAACCCTGTAACCTTCCTATTTTCCCCCTCTTTCAGAACTAAACTAATTTCACAATTATAATAAATATCAATAACCAACTTTTATCATACAAAAATCAATTATTATACTAGCTTTTATCATAATTCATAATTTATACCAACTATATTTAATACAATATATATTCATTATGTATACCAACTTACTTACATACAAATTCTACCATTATAGAAACAAATTTTTACATATATACTTATAAACAATAACACTAGAATACTTCATACAGACTATTAAAAATAAAACACATATATTTCAAACCGTCACAATGTATAATAAACAATGCTAAAACAAATGCAACTAGAGAATATAAAAATAAATTGTGAAATATAAATTACCAACAATATGCTACCAACAAACAATGGAGTTTTAAACTAATTATATACAAATCAATCTACATATATTAACAAACTAAAATACTAATCGAAAAAATAAATAAAAGTCAATAGACAACTTACATTGACATCTCCTGCAACTTTCATATTAAACCCCTCTTTCTGAACTAATCTATTCTCACTATTGTATGTTTCATTATCACATTGATTTTTAGATTCTCCGCATGCAGTTTCATTCATTTTACGACTCTGAAAATTGAAATATAAGTTATACTACATATTGAAACTCAATAACCCGTAAAAAATGTTTATCTAAAAATTAGTTTATAAGCAAATAATAAGTAGACTAACCCGTTCAACACCTAAATCTTTGTTGGTTGAAACATCATTTTGAAGAGATTTCAACTCTTGAATGATATGTTTGAATGATGAATCCATAAACGCCGTCATATCAACAAACTTAGCATCTACATTTTTTTCAAACTTTTCCAACTCATTACGAACCTAACAAAAATTAAAATGACATTAATGTTTCTTCAACCAAAATTCTGACAGTAAGTAGATAATATTTATAATCAAACCTTCACAACTTCTTGGGCAATTTTCTGCAAATCCTTATTAAATGACAAACTTAGATCACTTCCAACTTCTTGTGCAGAAATATGAGGCAAATCTTTGTCATTCTGTCGAATGACAAAATGAGTCCGTAAATTCTCATTTTGCCTTACAGATCTATCACGTTTACTCTTCTTATTGAATGGAATATCAGTCAAAACAGTTAGGTTTTCCGTCTCAATGATAGCAAACTCCTCATCCATGAACACAAGATCTTCAAATATATACTAACACAATAATAAAAAATTATGAATATACACTACTCATAAAAAATAAAATTAATTAATAATAACGATATTACTTCTATTACCTGATTGTCGTATTTTCTTAACATTCCTTTATTGAGATGGTCAAAATATATCTTGTTTTTTGATATATCCCAATTGAATATTCTAGGCGTTCGATTGGATTTACGAATTGCAATTGAACCATCAACTTTTTTACAACATTCGTAAAACCAAATTTGCAACGCAAGCGGAAACCCTTCAAACTTCACATAATCCGTATCTTTTGCCATTTGAGTCGATATGGAATGACGAAGATTGAAAAAGGAGAGATTGCCCCAGGGGTACGTAATGTACTGTCCCAACTCAACACATAAGAAGTGGTCTTTTGGAATATGTGAAAATTGTGGTGGCGATGACAATATGAATGTACTAATGAAATAAATCATAGACATATTAAAAAAGTCTTCTTCCTGAATCAACCCATCTTCTTTAAACACTCTTATGAAATCAGCTTTTCAAAAACCTTATCAACAACATTTGGAAAGTAACGAGAAAGTAACTTTGATGTACTATTCGGATCATGATCAAATCCCATACACCCACCACACTTAAAACCATAATTACCAAAAATTCTCTAAGCCCAAAATGCATTTCTTTACCATTTATATCAAACACAAACATATCATCCCGATTGTTAGATAAATGATGAACAAGACTTCTAATAATCTGAGGTTGCACTATCAATTGGGATAATTCAAATAGATAACCAAAAGGAGACTCTTTAAACAAATGAACACTGCCAATTTTTTTTCAAGTAGCTTTGTTATATCAACAAAAATGTTGACATTAACATAAGAACACCAACGCGATTGTTTCTTCTTGATCTAAATATAATATATTTAAAAAATCAATAAATTATAATAGTCATAAAAATGCAAAATTTATAATATAAACAAAGAAATATTTGCATCAAACAGTACATTACTAGAAAACGACCATAAAAACATACCTTTGGTGGTACTTGTGTTGCCTTTTTCCTTTTATTAATAATCAACCTAGCCCATTTTTTACTTAAACCATTCATACCTTTGCTCACCGAACCCCCATCAACATTCTAGGGTAGAATTTTTTTTAATTAATGTTACAAAACTTTCAAATAAGAACAAGATTCAACACTTGCATGTCACAAAAAAACAGAAATTTAACCAAATAAATAAATACCGATCTTTATTTACTCTTAATCTTTTAGAGAGGGGGATTTCATCCTCAAAATCACTGTCATGTGGATAATGATCTTCTAGCAATTTTTCTTTGCCCTTCGATTTTGTATCATCCCCATAATCATCTTTTTGTTGAACTTTGTAGGATGATGAAGAATTGATAACAATACACTCATTAGTTCTACCAGATGGTCTTGAACAACTGATCAACGAGCTATCAACAACTACCACGGATTTGTTAAGTCTAGGACTTTTACGTGGAGTCTTTTCCATCGAACAATGGTAAATTTTTTAGTTAGTTGGATTGTGAATCGTTTCTGTGAAGAAGATTAAAGATTTAAGAAAAATAGAATAAGAATATGGAAGGAAACCCTTTTGATTGCCCAAAATATTTTCAATATTTCTTGAAACTATAACTTCATATGGAAGGAAACCCTTTTGACTGCCCAAAATATTTTCAATATTTCTTGAAACTATAACTTCACATTGATAATTACACAGCCTTTCTTGGTAAAAAAACAGCTTTTTCAAAAAAGGAATAAACTACTTATGATCCCAAAAAGGTCCACTAAGCCTAAAAGAGGGAAAAAATAAAAGTAATGGAATGTGTAAAGCAAAAATAAATTAAATACAAAGTTTAAATGATTTGTTATGTATGTAATTTAAAAACTTAGTTTGTAATTAAATATAAGTATATTGATATTTTGTTAATAAAGGTCTTAAGTAGTATATTTTTGTAATTTTTCCATTTTAGACCCGAATTTTCAGCCCAACAATTGACAAATTGAGACCAGGACCAGCCCAAGACCGCACCCCTTAATTCTACCCTTTTTAGCCCAGCTCAATTCCAGCAGCAATACGCGTACATCGACGTTCTTCTTCCTCCTTTCAATTCCGTTGAGAATTGGTACGAAAATGGAGCCAGCACAAGAGTTTCAATTTCAAATCCTTAACCGTTTTCCTTTTCAATTCCATTCTCTTCCTATATATACTTTCCTTCCTTCAGCGTTCTGGAGAGGTTTTTTGGACACTACCTTACAGAGGGAGTTTCCATCAAAAGAAAGAGGTTGGAGAGACAAGAAACAGGAACAAAAATTTACAAGAAAATTATACATGCAACAGAGAAGAAAATTAAAGAAAATAGTATTCCATTAGCTAGGTGGTTTGAGTCTTTTGTTGTTGGATTCGAGCTCTCGTCGGAATTCCTCTTGTGGTGGAGGAATAGCTCGCTTCATCTCGTCCACAAAAGGTAAAATCCCTCTCCTAATCTTGACTTGTTGCTCTTTGTTTTGTTTAGTCGATTTACAGACTAATTTAGCTATTATTTATTTTTGATAAATTTCATTTGTTGTCTGATTGTGTAGCTTCTCTGTGTTGTTATTAGCTATTACTAGTTGTACGACCTCTAGAGATTTCGGTCTTCTTCTTGTTTTATATTTGCTTTCATCTAAATTGGTCATTGCCTATCTGTGGTGTTGGGCAGCAATGCTTGGGTTTGTTTGGGTTTAGCACCTCAGAAATGATATGTTGGCTTCCGTTTGTCATTTGCTTGGTCTTGAATTCCAATTTAGCTTGACAAAGTGAGATTATCTTGGCCTAATATGTGCCTTTGTTTAGCTCTTGGTTTCTGCGTATGCCCTTTAGTTTGCTAGTTTCTTAAGCTCATGGGATGTTTAAGTTCCCTTATCGTATCTCTTTAAGTGTGGATCTCTCGTTATGCTCATCTTGATTTAATTTTCGTACTTAGTATGTCTTTGCATTTAGGTGTTTTCTTGTCTATGCCCTGTTCTGTTTTCAGTATCAGTTCCTTCACTTGTTTGCTACTGTTAGTACCACCTTCTATAGGTGTAGGAGTTTTAAATTTGATTGTTATGATCCATATAAAGTATATGTCTTTGAGAGTTTTTTTTTTATGAATTCAAAATTATAAGTAAATTGTCACTGCTTGTTTTAATAGTATGTCTTGACTCAGATTTCTCCTCAAATGCTCTTTCTTTTCCTTAAAATACTCCATATGATTACTCGATTTTCTTTGGATGTTCAGAACAGTTAAGTGTATTGAGTGTTGTTTATTTCCTTTTCTAGATTTATTTGCCAGTAGTCTTGTCTTAAGTAGCATGTGTTCTTCATTAAAAAAATTGAAAGGCTCATGTTTGAATTCATCATGGAATGTTTTGCTATTTGTTGCTCGATTTAGTAAATATTCATTTGATTTGGTTAGCTTAAGTTAACTTATCAAGAATAATGCTAACCCAGCGAACCCAGCCACCTCTAATCCCAGCCGCGTCCTCCTCGTAGAAGATCATTTCGAGAGTCATCCAAGTATCGAAATCGAATGGCCATTCTTTCAATTCTGTTGAGAATTGGTACTAAATTGAGCCAGCACAAGAGTTTGAATTTCGAATTTGAAATACCTCAAATCCTTATCCGTTCCCCCCCTTTTCAATTCCATTCTCTTCCTATATATACTTCCCTTCCTTCAGTGTTTTGGAGAGGTTTTTTGGACACTAATTTACTACCCAAAACAGAGGGGATTTCCATCGAAAGAAAGAGGTTGGAGAGACAAGAAACAGGAATGGAAATTTACAAAAAAAATACAGGCAACAGAGAAGAAAATTAAAGAAAATAGTATTCCTATAGCTAGGAGGTTTGAGTCTTTTGTTGTTGGATTCGAGCTCTTGTCAGAATTCCTCTTGTGGTGGAGTTTCCTTGCCTTATTCCTGGCTGTAAGCTCAATCTTGTGGAGTCACTTAGGCGTTGTGTTAAGAGTTAGCATCTAAGGTAAGTTTTATCCCCTCCTTTCTACTCAATCTTGGGTAAGTATTTTTGAAATGGTCTCGTTGATATGTGTTAATCAGTCTTTAAATTGTTGGGTTATTTTTGTTTATATGGGGATTAATTAAGGAATAGATAGTTCATGAGTTTTGGTTGAGATTGGGGGCACAACTTATGTGAAAATTGTGCCTAAAAAAGCTACCCCCAACATGTTTGATGAAATGACCCAACCGGATTTTGAATTCAGGAGAAGATGACTCCGCGAACGCGCCCTCTCAGCCGCGAACTCGGAGGAATCTGATCCCAGATTCTCCGCGAACGCGCCCAATAGTTAGCAAACGAGTTGATTTTAGCAAAAGAGAGTTAGCAAAAGAATAGCTTCAATTTGTTGATTTTATAGGTGAGGAGATTGTTGCCGGGGATGTCATATATGGCGGTTCTGACCGGCTGCTGTCACAAGTTGTTCCAAAAGCCGTAATTGGGTTAAGTTGGTATCTCTTTTATCAATGTTACTCTGTTTTCAATTAGGTTATTAGACTCTTGGTTGTCATCTTATTTGTACAGGCGAGAGGATAGCTAATACTGTTTTAGTTGGTTTTAAGTACGAGATTTTTATTCAATTTGTTAAAATCATGAGTTGGAGGTGTAACGTTATCCCATATGTCTTCATTCTTGCTATTTTATCCCCCCCCCCCTTATATAATGGCTTCTTCATATGCATGTCCTTCCTTTTTATCTTGACAAAGTGAAATTATCTTGGCCTAAGACGTGCCTTTGTTTAGCTCTTGGTTGCTGCGTATGCCCTTTAGTTTGCTAGTTTCTTAAGCTCATGGGCTGTTTAAGTTCCCTTATCATATCTCTTTATGTGTCGATTTCTCATTATGCTCATCTTGATTTAATTTTCGTACTTGGTATGTCTTTGCATTTAGGTGTTTTCTTGTCTATGCCCTGTTCTGTTTTCAACATCAGTTCATTCACTTGTTTGCTACTGTTAGTACCACCCTCAATAGGTGTAGGAGTTTTAAAATTGAATGTTATGAGCCATATAAAGTATATGGCTTTGAGAGTTCTTTTTTACAAATTCAAAATTAGAAGTAAATTGTCATTGCTTGTTTTAATAGCATGTCTTGACTCAGATTTCTCCTCAAATGCTCTTTCTTTTCCTTAAAATACTCCATATGATTACTGGATTTTCTTTGGATGTTTAGAACAGTTAAGTGTATTGAGTGTTGTTTATTTCCTATTCCAAATCTATTTTCCAGTAGTCTAGTCTTAAATAGCATGTGTTCTTCATTAAAAATTTGAAAGTCTCATGTTTGAATTCATCATGGTATGTTTTGCTATTTGTTGCTCGATTTAGTAAATATTCATTTGATTTGGTTAGCTTAAGTTAACTTAGCAAGAATAATGCTAAATATTTATTTTTTATTTTTTATTTTTTATTTATTTTATTATGCATGAACTTGGCCCGAGGCGGAGTTAGCAAATGAGTTGATTTTAGCAAAAGATAGTTAGCAAAAGAATAGCTTCAATTTGTTGTTTATAGGTGAGGAGATTGTTGCCGGGGATGTCATAAATGGTGGTTCTGATCGGTTGCTGTCACAAGTTGTTCCAAAAGCCGGGATTGGGTGAAGTTGGTATCTCTTTTATCAATGTTACTCTGTTTTCAATTAGGTTATTAGAATCTTGATTGTCATCTTATTTGTACAGGCGAGTGGATAGCTGATACTATTTTAGTTCGTTTTAAGTACGAGATTTTTATTCAATTTGTTAAAATCATGAGTTTAAGGTGTAATTTTGTCCCAGATGTCTCCATTCTTGCCACTTTATTTTTCTACCCTAATATAATGGCTTCTTCATATGCATGTCCGTCCTTTTTATCTTAAGAGGCCAAATATTGTATCCTCTGTCGCTTCTATTTTTCATTTTCTCTCCTAGCTGATAGTCTTTATTTACTGAATAATCATATGTTATATATCTCCTTAAATTGCTGTATTTTTCATTTCACAATCTTACATAAGCATTTAAGTAATTGCAATCGTTTATTTATGCTTCTAAATTTGCTTAGTGTGAGGTCTGAGTTTCTTTTTCCTTTTAAAGCTATTAGAGTGATCAAGATGTTCTACAGAAGCTAGCCAAAACAATATATTTTGCTGCTTCCTTGCTTTCAAAGGTTGTTCTATGTGGAACTGATTATTATATTCTGTGCTCATTATTTATTTTTTTAGTAGACGCCAGAAGCTGATATGACGGGTGAACTAGAGATGAGGGAAGGCGAATCATCTTCTTCCTGCCTCCTATGAAATTACATCAAGAAAAAGCTTTCCTATGTGGCTCTTGACTATGAACAGGAGATTGAAACTGGCAAAAGCAGCTCCTCCACTGAAAAGAACTATGAATTGCCTGAAGAACAAGTTATTACCATTGGTGCTGAGAGGTTCTACTGCCTAGAGGCCCTCTTCCAGCCATCTATGATTGGTATGGAAGTTGCAGGTATCCATGAGACTACCTACAACTCCATTCATTATCCTTGTGAAATAGCTAAAAAAAAAAGGAACGTAGAGAAGAATATCCATATAATAAAGCTTTCCCAACTGGTGAACGATCCTTCCCGTGCGGTGATCATGGATAAGACAGTCAGAAGAAGAAAAGATTACACGAAGATGGTTAGCTGCAACGTGACTGAGGATGAAAATGGAATCTATCATGAAGAATTCGGGATGAAGACATAGACACACAGTGTGAGAGGTAAGAGAGTTCCATCTGCAATGTTAACAGCATCTTTAATAGGTAAAAGAGGCAGACAAAAAAGTTGAATGTCTTTTTTCTTTCGCATAGCTCCCAGACAACCACACAGGGCAATACTTGATATAGAGGCTTCAGATATACATTTGCAGGGTGTTTATCGTATGAGCAAGGAAATCACTGTCTTCACTCCTAGCAGCATGAAGACTAAGGTTGTTTCTCCACTAGAGAGTAAGAACAATGTCTAGATTGGAGGATCCATCCTCGCATCACTTCGCACCTTCCAGCTGGCAAGCCTTTATTTCTTAAAATTTTCTCTTGCATAACTTTTGCAAATTTAAACTGCATTTTGAACTACGTTGTTTCTAACTTAAACATGTTTTGTGCTTAATCAAATGTGGATTTCGAAGGGCGAGTACGACAACTCTGGTCCATCCATTGTCCACAGGAAGTGTTTTTAAGGTGCTGCTACTATTTTTACATCTGTTTGTTCTTCTTTATTTTTTTGTTCTTCCTGCTAAAGCTATTATGTCGTCCACAATGAACTCAGATTTGTTGTTATAGGTGAGTATTTGAGATGCGGCTATGAATGAAGGGCGATTAAAAACATTGTACCGCTAATACTATTTCATGTTTCCAGTTCAAGCTTCTTTTGTCTAGAAATATCCCTTCTCGAACTTGAACTCGAACTCGAACTCTTTAGGTTGTTTTTAGTTGAGGAGAGTGAATGTGGTGTTCTTGGTGTTTATTATTTATTGGGGTCATTTCCTTCATTTTCTTTGTTTTGTTATTGTATAGTACCCTTTTTTTAATCTTGGGAACAAATAAGTCAATACTTATTGAATGAGAATTTTTGTAGTATCTTCAGACTTTGGAAATTAGTTTCGTAATTTCTGTGGATTGAAATTTTTGTGGTGAAGCGTTATTGTCATATCTGTTCTTTTATGATATGCAATGGATGTCTCAACTATAGTTCATAGTGTTTTTAGCAAAATGTAATGAAATTTGAAACATAATATTTGCGACAATGTTATGTTGTGCACATGCTTCCCTTCTAGTATTCTATAGAGGATGAAAACCATATAAGTATCAAAACAATGTTGCTTTTTGAATACAACATCTAGTAACAAACCTTAAGAATGAGCAATGCATCAAGAGGTGGAAGCATAGACAAACTGCCTTGAACACTAGTGCAATCAAGGATAGGGGAAAATTAAACTACCAATAAGAAGCATAGGCAAAATAACCTAGACATGGAGCCTCTTACTTTAAATCTAACATAATGACGAGGAGATAGTATGCTGGACTGTTTCATATCCAACTCAACTAAAGTATTTTTGTGTCACAATCCGACTTCAGACTTCTATAGTCAAGATGACACATACTATAACCCATCAGTAGGTGAGCCAACCCATACCCAGAACGACAAGTAATGCAACATTTCTCCTCGAATGCAGAGGAGATAGTGATGACAGACCCAAAACAGTAGCTTCGTACAACTTAGCTCGGACCTTCTTTTGACGTTTTCTTTGGCTTAAATACTTCCTAATCCATTGATTTAAGTGTCCTCAAGTACTTTTGACATGTTGGCTTCATTTGTAGGTGTTTTGAACTATAAATGGCTTTCTAAACCAATTCGAATGATCAAGAAATGGCACCTGAAATTGAGGAGGAAGATTATTTTTGATGAGAGCAGGTTCCTACCGGTAAAATGTGCTAAAAAATATGATAAGTACTTGGCCCGAAGTGAGGACACAATTTCGTTTTCAATTGGGAATGCCTCCTTTGTTGTCATTTTGTTGATTGTTTCTGCGTACTGTGATGGTGCCCTTATTGGGCGTACTTTTCATTCTTTGTTATGGATTGGTGTGCCCTTGTCGAACTTTCATATCGTGGATGCTTCTGTTAATATTGTGTTAGATTGGTCTATTTTAGTTTTTGATTTGTAGTTTGTAGCTTCTTTGTTTTTGGTTTGTTAATAAGATTTGGATTGACGATGCCTAATGATGGATAGAGAGGGACAACTTTCTTAAGGGTAAATCATCGATTGCTTGTGAGTGTTTGATTGGCTTTGATTGTGGCGAAGTCTGAGTAGCCGTTCCCGAATAGATGCATGAGGTTGCCTGATGATGGATTGGTTAACAACTCTTAAGGGCAAAATCGTCGTCTTTTTTGGGAAGGTTTTGACTTGGTTGGTACTAAGAGCATAGTCATGCATGTGAATAGTGTTGAGCATACCTCTCCGTTTTTAAAAGGTTGAGCATGTTGTGAATGATTTTGTGACAACTTTTACAACTCTTTTTATGACTTTTGATTTGTTAGTCCTCCTTGAACTTGAGGTTGTGAAAGTTGAGGCTAAAGGCCTAGGTTGGGGGTGTTCATCTTTTGAACCCTTCCCTCCTTGAACTTGAGGTTGTGAAAGTTGAGGCTAAAGGCCTAGGTTGGGGGTGTTCATCTTTTGAACCCTTCCCTCCTTGAACTTGAGGTTGTGAAAGTTGAGGCTAAAGGCCTAGGTTGGGGGTGTTCATCTTTTGAACCCTTCCCTCCTTGAACTTGAGGTTGTGAAAGTTGAGGCTAAAGGCCTAGGTTGGGGGTGTTCATCTTTTGAACCCTTCCCTCCTTGAACTTGAGGTTGTGAAAGTTGAGGCTAAAGGCCTAGGTTGGGGGTGTTCATCTTTTGAACCCTTCCCTCCTTGAACTTGAGGTTGTGAAAGTGGAGGCTAAAAGCCTAAGTTGGGGGTGTTATGGGAAATTCATTGAAGGGATGCTTACCACATGTGGGCTTGCTATAAAAAAAGATAAAAAGAAAAAAGAAATTGAAGGATGGATGGGAAGTCTTAAAGAAAGAAAAAACCTTGAAAAAGAAAGAAAGAAAATGAATAAGTGAGACTTAAATCCTCCAAAAGTTGAAAATGGTTGCATGTGGGAATCTAGAGTGGAAATAAGAAAAGAAAAGTGAAAAATAGAGTGGAAATAAGAAAAGAAAAATGAAAAGTAGTGTGGAATGTGCATGGGTTTGGAAAGTGAAGAAAAGTGGAGAAAGTTAGAAAGAATGATTTGTTATGTAGTGTTCAAGGAGGGTGTAGTCACTTATACCTAAATGATATCCTAACCTTCCCTAAGCCTACGTTATTGCTTAACAAAGTCCTTTGAGATTTCTAACCAAATGGAGTTGAGTCAATGTTGATTGAAAATATGGGCAAGCCTATGGTGTGACATTTGTGTGTGCATGAGATGATTCTTTGTAAGTGTGAGTGTTACATCTTTGTCCCTTGTCTTGTTTATATGTGTGTGATTTTGGGAAACTTCTTTCTTGTAAGGGCATGTAGGTTGAAAAAGTGGTGATTTTGAAAATTCCTAATTGAGTCAAGTGAGCATGTGAAAGAGTTAATGAGTTGAGTCATTTCTTGAGTTTGAGTTGTTGTCACTTAAACGATTCTTGGTTTTTGAAAATGTTTCATGAGAGTGAGGATTTATTTTGTGAAAAGTTTGCATGTGTACTATTTGTTAGTACCAACCGAAGTTATTACCTTTGTGCTTAATTGAGAGAGGGAAATTGATTTGTGGTGTGTCTTGAAATATGAGCTTCTTGCGTTTTTGATTTTCTTTACTTGAGGACAAACAAGGTTTCTAAGTTGGGGGTGTTGATGAGTCGGATTTCTACTCATTTGAGGCTCTTTTCGTAGTTATTTTGGCTTGCTTTAACTTAGAATTGGTGCTTTTAATGTGGTTTTTTTCAGATTTGCACGAAAAAGAAATGGAGAGTTGATTTAGGATATTTGAAGAAAGCAAATAAATTTGAGGCAAAAAGAGGTCAAGAGCTGAAAATACAATTTTTGGCAGGGAAAGTATCCTTCGCGAATGGGCTTGAATAAACTAAGTGAACTGTATCTGACTGTTTGAATGTCTTCATTTAGGGGAAGAAATTTGCTAAACCTGCACTCAGATCATGCATATGCATTGAGGAGTTTGAATAAAAGTTGAATAAATTCGACATTAAGAGGAATGAACAAGAACTTACTGCCAAAAATGCCCAAAGCCATCAACAAAAAGTGGAGAACTTGGAGGGCATCATGGTTACTGAAAAAGAAGAAGAGGAAATTGATGAATCTGAAATTACTTAAGGTTGTTTTCTCCAAGTCTATCGTTTGTTCATTCTTTTATTACTCTTAAATGTTTTATTTACAAGGTTCTCATTTTGAAAAAAAATACGGCAGAGGGAACTAGAACTTTATGCTTGTCTCTTTGATTTATACGGGGTCATTTATGCTTTTATTTAGCCAAAGAATTTAAAAATAATGTAGAGGAGGTAGTAGTTGTTAACAAGACAGTAGTAAGTTATATAAATAGTTGATCCTTCACTACAACTTTTCTTTAAAAAATCCATATAGAATTTGAATGATGGGTTTTTTTGGAAATGTACATTTAAGAGTAGATATTGATAAAAAAAATTTCTAAAGTCATTTTGGCGAGAGAGCAGGAGATATATAAAGTGGCTAGTGGCGAAATCGATTGATAAAACTTTCTAAGTCAATGTGCAAACTGTTTTAGACAAAATAAGTGAAGCCAACATGATGCAGGATTGTTGTATCTGTTCCATTTCTTATGATGTATAATGCAAAGAAGTGGGCTTAGTACCTGATTTAGTTATCTTGAATTTTCAGTAACTTCGTTTTCTTAGTCATGCAACAAATTTTGAAGTCACGAATCCATCAATGGAAGTGCAAACAGAATGTTCACATTCGGAACCAGGATGTGCTGAGTCGGACCAGAGGTTCCTTGCAATATTCAACATCCTGTGTGGAGGAGCATGATGTGTTCGATCTTGTGTATTCTTTAGTGAAGGAGTTTGCTTGCCTTATTCCTGGCTGTAAGCTTAATCTTGTGGAGTCACTTAGGCGTTGTGTTAAGAGTTAGCATCTAAGGTAAGTTTTCTCTCCTCCTTTCTACTCAATCTTGTGTAAGTATTTTTGAAATGGTCTCGTTGATATGTGTTAATCAGTGCTTGAATTAGAGCTTGTAGATCTGTTTGGCTCTCTGTAAGTAGTTTCTCCCTTTCTCTTATTTTTTGTTTGTTTTATTCCCCTTTTGAATGTCTCCAGCATATCATTAATGCCGAGGAATACAACATTACCAGTTTCAAAAAAATAAAACTTGAACAATGCTTAATCCTTTTAAGTCTTAAATTACCCACTTAAACAGCAGCGAACCCAACGACCTCTAAGCCCAGCCGCGTCGTCCTCATAGAAGATCGTTTCGAGAATCATCCAAGTGTCCAAATCATATGACCCTCCTTTCAATTCTGTGGAGAATTAGTACGAAATAGAGCCAGCACAAGAGTTTGAATTTCGAATTTAAAATACCTCAAAACCTTATCCGCCCCTCCCCCTTTCAATTCCATTTTTTTCCTATATATACTTCCCTTCCTTCATCGTTTTGGAGAGATTTTTTGGACACTAATTTACTTCCCAAAACATAAGGAATTTGCATCGAAAGAAAGAGGTTGGTGAGAGAAGAAACAGGAACTGAAATTTACAAAAAAAGATACAGGCAACAGAGAAGAAATTTAAAGAAAATAGTATTCCTATAGCTAGGAGGTTTGGGTCTTTTGTTTGCTGGATTAGATCTCTTGTCAGAATTGCTCTTGTGGTGGAGTATCCTTGCCTTATTCCTGGCTTTAAGCTCAATCTTGTGGAGTCACTTAGGTGTCGTGTTAAGAGTTAGTATCTATCGTAAGTTTTCTCCCATCCTTTCTACCCAATCTTGGGTAAGTACTTTTGAAATGGTCTCGTTGATATGTGTTAATCAGTGCTTAAATTGTTGGACTCTTTTTGTTTGTGTGCTGATTAATATAGTTGAGGGATGTATAGTTCATGAGTTTTGGTGGAGATTGGGGACACACTTGTGTGAAAATTGTGCCTAAAACAGCTGTCCCCAACATGTTTGATGAAATGCCCCAATCGGATTTTGAATTCAGGGAAAGATGACTCCGCGAACATTCCCTATTGGCCGCGAACTCGAAGGAATCTGATCCCAGATTCTCCGCAAACGCGCCAAATAGTTAGCAAACGAGTTGAATTTAGCAAAAGAATAGCTCCAATTTGTTGATTTTATAGGTGAGGAGATAGTTGCCGGTGATGTCATATATGGCGATTCTGACCGGTTGCTATCACAAGTTGTTCCAAAAGCTGGGAATGGGTTAAGTTGGTGTGTCTTTTATCGATGTAACTTTGTTTTCAATTAGGTTACTAGAATCTTGATTGTCATCTTATTTGTACTGGCGAGTGGATAGCTATTACTGTTTTAGTTGGTTTTAAGTACGAGATTTTTATTCAATTTTTGAAAGTCATGAGTTTGAGGTTTAATTTTGTCCCATATGTCTTCATTCTTGCTATTTTATTTTTCTTCCATTATATAATGGCTTCTTCATATGCATGTCCTTCCTTTTTATCTTAACATGCCAAATATGTGACTCACTGTAAGTTTACCTTTTTGTTTAATAGGATGTTGCTACTGTTCAACTTTGTATGTACTTAAATAGAAATTATAGAATTATCTTATCGATGATGTACCATTAACCTGGATGTTTTTAATTATTCTTCAAATGTAGATAAGATTCATTGGAGTTTACCGGAATAAATGAGGGAGGACTTCTAGGGAACGACTTGCTCTATGGATATGTTGGTATCTCATATTGAGAAGTAGTAAGAAGTGAACTCTAACGTTTATCTTAATGTATTCTCCTGATTGTTGAAACTCCTGGCACCATTTGATGTATCTTCATAGTAATATGCAACTAACCATAAAGCAAGTCGTTCCCTAACCATTAATGCAACTAACCTGCAGGTTTATTTGCTATTGGCTATCAACAACTCTCATACAAATATGCAACTAACCACTAATTCCAGCTTGATATGTATGTCTCTTCTTTTATTCAAGTTTCACAAAGCTGAATATATATGATCAATAAAATAACAATATATTGTGTTCTTTTGCTATCTTTCTTCTCTGCTTCATACAAAAAAATAATAATGCAATCCCTGCTTATGTAAAAAAATAAAATTTGAATAATGCTAAAGTTTTTAAGTCCTAAATTATCCACTTAAACATTCAGCGAACCCAGTGACCTCTAATCCCAGCCGCGTCGTCCTCATAGAAGATCGTTACAGGAATCATCCAAGCGTTGAAATCTAATGACCCTCCTTTCAATTCTGTTTAGAATTGGTACGAAATCGAGCCAGCACAAGAGTTTGAATTTTGAATTTGAAGTACCTCAAATTCTTATCCGTCCCCCCCCCCCCCTCCCTTTCAATTCCATTCTTTTAATATACGTATTTCCCTTCCTACAAAAATAATATACAGGCAACACAGAAGAAAATTAAAGAAAATAGTATTCCTATGGCTAGGAGGTTTGAGTCTTTTGTTGCTGGATTTGAGCTCTTGTCAGAATTCCAGTTGTGGTGGAGGAATAGTTCGATTCAACTCGACGTCCCAGTTTCTCTGTGGTCCACAAAAGGTTTGATCCCTCTCCTAAGCTTGACTTGTTTGTCTTTGTTTTGTTTAGTTGATTTACAGACTTATTTAGTTATTATTTATTTTGATAAATTTTATTTTTTGTCTGATTGTGTAGTTTCTCTGTGTTGTTATTGGTTATAGCTAGTTGGTTGACCTCTAGAGATTTCGGTCTTCTTCTTGTTTATATTTGGTTTCATCTAAATTAGTCATTGCCCTATCTGTAGTGTTAGGCAGCAATGCTTGCGTTTGTTTGGGTTTAGCACCTCATAAATAATATGTTGGCTTCCTTTTATCATTTGTTTGGTCTAGAATTCCAATTTAGCTTGACAAAGTTTGATTATATTGGCCTAAGATGTGCCCTTTGTTTAGCTCTTGGTTGCTGCATATGCCCTTTAGTTTGCTTGTTTCTTAAGCTCATGGGTTGTTTAAGTTCCCTTATCGTATCTTTTTAAGTTTCGATGGATGTCTGAACTATAGTACATAGTGGTTTCAGCAAAATGTAATGAAATTTTGAAAATAAAATTTGCGACAATGTTATGTTGGCCCCGTGCATAGCACGGGCTTCCCTTCTAGTATTCTATAGAGGATGAAACAAAGTATCAAAACAATGTTGCTTTTTGAATACCACATCTAATAGCAAACCTTAAGAATGAGCAATGCATAAAGAGATGGAAGCATAGGCAATCTGCCTTGAACACTAGGGCAATCAAGGATAGGGGAAAACTAAACTACCAATAAGAAGCATAGGCAAAATAACCTAGACATGGAGCCTCTTACTCTAAATCTGACAGAACAACGAGGAGATAGTGTGTTGGACTGTTTCATATCCAACTCAACTAAAGTATTTTTGTGTTATGACCCGACTTCAAACTTCTTTAGTCAAGATGACACATACTATAACCCACTAGTAGGTGAGCCAACCCGTACCAAGAACGACAAGTAACACAACACTCTTCTGCGAACGCGGAAGAGATAGTGATGGCAGAGCCAAAACAGTAGTTTCGTACAACTTAGCTCGGACCTTCTTTTGACTATTTCTTTGGCTTAAATATTTCCTAATTCATTGTTTTAAGTGTCCTCAAGAACTTTTGATATATTGGCTTCATTTGTAGGTGTTTTGAACTATAAATGGCTTTCTAAACCAATTCGGATGATCAAGAAATGGCACCGAAAATTGAGAAGGATGATTATTTTTTATGAGAGCTGGTTCCTACCGGTAAAATGTCCCCGAAAATATGATGAGAACTTGACCCGAAGTGAGAACACAGTATCATTTTCAATTGGGAATGCCTCCATTTTCTTCATTTTGTTGAATGTTTCTGCATACTATAATTGTGCCCTTGACGGGTGTACTTTTTTTTCTTTGTTATGGATTGGTGTGACCTTGTCGAACTTTGATATCGTGCATGCTTCTGTTGATATTGTGTTAGATTGGTCTATTTTAGTTTTTGATTTTTAGTTTGTAGCTTCTTTGTTTTTGGTTTGTTAATAAGATTTGGATTGACGATGCCTGATGATGGATAGAGAGGGACGACTTTCTTAAGGGTAAATCGTCGATTGCTTGTGAGTGTTGGATTGGCGTTGATTGTGGTGAAGTCTTAGTGGCCATTCCCGAATAGATGCATGAGGTTGCCTGATGATGGATTGGTTGACAACTCTCTTAAGGGCATAATCGTCGTCTTTTTGGGAAGGTTTTGACTTGGTTGGTACTAAGAGCATAGTCATGCATGTGAATAGTGTTGAGCATAGCTCTTCGTTTTTAAAAGGTTGAGCATGTTGTGAATGATTTTGTGACAACTCTTACAACTCTTTTTATGACTTTTGATTCGTTAGCAGTTAAAATGTTGAAAGCTACTTGTATTTTGAAAAGGAAGTAAGATTTTGAACCATCTTGATTGATTTGCAAGCCATGTGTGGTGAGTTGTTGAATAATGCTTGTGTTCGCTTTGTCACCTAGAACTTGCCCGGTTGGTCTTGATTGAGTTTTGTTGGAAAATGATCTTTAGGCTTTTTTTATGTTCTTGAAGTCCACTTGGCCTAAAATCCCACCTTTGCATAAATATATCCTTAGTTGTCCCTTTTGAGCCTAATTCTTTTTATTGACAACCACATTTCAAGCCTTATCCTTTTTGAAAAGTAACCCTAGTTTGAACCCTTCCCTCCTTGAACTTGAGGTTCTGAAAGTGGAGGCTAAAAGCCTAAGTTGGGGGTGTTATGGGAAATTCATTGAAGGGATGCTTACCACATGAGGGCTTGAACTAAAAAAAAGAAGAGAGAAATTGAAGGATGGATAGGAAGTATTAAAGAAAGAAAAAGCTTTGAAAAAGAAAGAAAGAAAATGAATAAATGAGACTTGAATTCTCCGAAATTTGAAAATGGTGTCATGTGGGCATCTAGAGTGGAAATAAAAAAAGAAAAGTGAAAAATAGTGTGGAATGTGCATGGGTTTGAAAAGTGGAGAAATTTGGATATGATGAGTTGTTGAGTAGTGTGCAAGGATGGCATAGTCACTTATTCCTAAATAATATCCTAACCTTCCCTAAGCATATATTACAAGCTTAACAAAGTCCTTTGAGATTTCTAACCAAATGGAGTTGAGTCAATGTTGATTGAAAATATGGGCAAGCCTATGGTGTGACATTTGTGTG